CATACTCCCAAATTTGGTAGTACTTTTTGCAATAGACCATGGATATGTTCACTTAGCCCTGCAGTGTGGTTTGTTGAACAGAGCATTCATTGGTACAAACATCAATCTGTCCACTCAGATGTTCTGACTTTCTGTTGAGTTGTCTATAAAAGTAGGATAGATAAATCTATAACACTTGGAAAATGATAAAGTACTCTACAAGGTTAATGGTGGAAAAAGAAAGAATGTCATATTGCAGGAGAAACAAGGTCATTTTGTGGCTGTATTATTATTACGGTTTCTCCACCCTCCTATAAGGCTTCCCTGGTGACTCAGCGATAAGGAGTCTGACTGCCAATGCAGGAAATTTGGGTTGTCTCCCTGGGTCAGGAAGATCCCCTGGAAAAGGAAATGGCAATCCACTTCAGTTTCTTCACTAGGAAATCCCATGGACAGTGGACCTGGTGGGCTACAGTCATTGCGGTCACAAAGAGTCGGTTGCAAGTTAGCAATTAAATAGCCACAATGACCCTCCTGTACGGTACTCCAGAAAGTGATTGTGTCCTTGTGGCCGGGGGTTCACTCTCACATCCAGTTTGTGTCAGGAAGAAAAATATAGCAAGTAGACCATGTGATGAGCTAAATATGCAGATGGATAAAGATATGTCCCATTGCAGTACTTCAGCTTTTGCAACAGCTAATCCAGATTCACATTTTGATATAGTGACAATGCTGTGGGAGGCTTTCCTGAGACTAGAGGACAATGACCTTTGGAAGGCATTCACTTCTCCTAAAGAAACCTCATAGTGTTCAAAGGAATGGGGTGGGGTGATAAAACACCCACACGGAGGCAGGAACCTTCATGGGTGCAGAGGAATAGGAGCTCTGTAACCAGAAAGCAGAACAACTTCTCTGGACCAACCAGATCTAATTTTTCTTTCATTTTTATTTCATATCGAAGCATAGTTGAGTAACAAGGTTGTGCTAGTTTGGGAGGTACAGAAAAGTGATTCGGTTATACATACGCATGCGTCTAATGTTTTTCAAATTCTTTCCCCATTTAGGTTTGTACAGAGTCTCGAGCAGAGTTCCCCGTGCCATACAGAAGGTCTCTGTTCAGTTCAGTTCAGTTCAGTCGCTCAGTCCTGTCCGACTCTTTGCGACCCCATGGATCGCAGCACGCCAGCCCTCCCTGTCCATCACCAACTCCCGGAGTCTACTCAAACTCACATCCATCGAGTCTGTAATGCCATCCAGCCCTCTCATCCCCTGTCGTCCCCTTCTCCGCCTGCCCCCAATCTTTCCCAGCATCAGGGTCTTTTCCAATGAGTCAACTCTTCACATGAGGTGGTCAAAGTATTGGAGTTTCAGCTTCAGCATCAGTCCTTCCAATGAACACCCAGGACTGATCTCCTTTAGGATGGACTGGTTGGATCTGCTTGCAGTCCAAGGGACTCTCAAGAGTCTTCTCCAACACCACAGTTCAAGAGCATCAATTTTTTGGCACTCAGCTTTCTTCATAGTCCAACTCTCACATCCATACATGACCACTGGAAAGACTATAGCCTTGACTAGACTGGACCTTTGTTGGCAATTAGGGATCTATTTTAAATCTAGCAGTGTATACCTGTCAGTCCCAAACTCCCTAACAATCCCTCCCCCACACCCTACCTCCACCCCCAGCAACCATAAGTTTGTCCTCTTTGTCTGTGAGTCCATTTCTGTTTTGTACATATGTTTATTTGTATTCTTTTTTAAAGATTGAACATGCAAACAATATCGTATATTATTTGTCTTTCTCTGTCTAACTTACTTCATTCAGTATGGTAATCTCCAGGTCCATCCTTGTGATGGCAAATGGCATTATTCTTGCATTCTAAGGTTTCAACCTCATTTTTCCCTCCTGAGCTGGTGATTCAGATTTAAGTTAGCATTTATACCACCCACAAAGGTATAAACAGCTCTATGTGGTTAAAAATTGCCCTACCTCCTCAGCAGAGAAGTTTCAAGTGCCTAATTTATAGAAATTTCTATTGAGTGTGAAGATTATTCCCTAGCAGAAAGTCTTCTCTGGCCCCACAGAATTGGTTAGAATCCCCATGTCTTGCCTTCTGAACATTTATCTTGATAAAGAGCTAGCTGCCCATTTCTTCACAGGTAGAAATTCTGGATCTCAGAGCCAGGAGCCAGAAGTTTGGGCAGGATAGATCATATTCACACTCATAATTGGGCCTAGTTTTCCTCACAGCTCAATTGGGTATTTGAACTCCATGATTTCCATTGTTCTTTCTGCCCTGGTATCTTGAGCATCTTGTGGTTCCATGTCTGAAATCAATTTTATTTTAATTTTGTAGGCATAATATTTTGGTTCTTTTCTTTCTAAAATCAACTGTTTTCTTAAACCAAAGTTTAACTTCTCCACTAAACTAACTGCTAACTCTATTTTGTATCAGATTTCTCATAAAACCTAGAACTATAATTCCATTCAGAGTCCAGACATATTACTGACAGATACACTCTTTCTTTTCTTTTTTTTTTTTGTAGGATAAGTTTAGATGACTTCATTTCAGATAAATTAAAAATTAGAAATAGAAGGACACAAGCAATGTTTGGGAAAATAGAGTAACTGACAGATCAGTTTAAAAAAAAAACAGTCTGAGAAAAATGTATGAAATCAAAACAGAAATAGTTTGAAAAAGATTTTCCTAGAATTACATAATCAAATTTTCTCTCAAATATATGTCCACTTCCATGTTAAATATAAAAGGGTATAATTATCATAATCTATAGATTTAAATAATAATAAAATCTATCTAAGGGCATTTCACTATTTGAGAGAAAATATATTTGATATGAGAATTTCAGCTTACAAACGTAATCAGTAGAGTTGCCCAACCATCCTTTAAATTCACATGCACTAGTCCCCAGGACTTTTTTTTTTTTCATTTATTTTTACTAGTTGGAGGCTAATTACTTTACAATATTGTAGTGGTTTGTCATACATTGACATGAATCAGCCATGGAGTTACATGTATTCCCCATCCCGATTCCCCCTCCCACCTCCCTCTCCACACGATTCCTCTGGGTCTTCCCAGTGCACCAGGCCCGAGCGCTTGTCTCATGTATCCAGCCTGGGCTGGTGATCTGTTTCACCCTTGATAATATACATGTTTCGATGCTCTTCTCTCAAAACATCCCACCCTCGCCTTCTCCCACAGAGTCCAAAAGTCTGTTCTGTACATCTGTGTCTCTTTTTCTGTTTTGCATATAGGGTTATCGTTATCATCTTTCTAAATTCCACATATATGCGTTAGTACACTGTATTGGTCTTTATCTTTCTGGCTTACTTCACTCTGTATGATGGGCTCCAGTTTCATCCATCTCATTAGAACTGATTCAAATGAATTCTTTTTAATGGCTAGTAATATTCCATGGTGTATATGTACCACAGCTTCCTTATCCATTCGTCTGCTGATGGGCATCTAGGTTGCTTCCATGTCCTGGCTGTTATAAACAGTGCTGCGATGAACATTGGGGTGCACGTGTCTCTTTCAGATCTGGTTTCCTCGGTGTGTATGCCCAGAAGAGGGATTGCTGGGTCATATAGAAAATCACAGTTATCCCCAGATATGATGGCATTGTCACTAAAAACCAAAAAGTGAAATAACAGAAAAAAGCTGTGTCATGGATGCAGCCAGCAGCCATCAAAAGATGCAGATTCTATCTTTTTCCATCTGATTGGGCCATCTCAGAAGATGAGAAGGCCAGATTAGTAGCATAAGAAGCCCTTCCTCAAAGCCTTTCCCCGTCATCCTCCTTGTGCCTTTAGGACATAAACTCCATTTCATAAAAGGAAGAAAGAATTCAAAGAAAATGAGAGGGGAGCAGGAAGCTCACTGCTCCAGTCTTCAGGGGCTCCTTGCTCCCCCAGGGTAACGTCTGAGTTTCTCATGGGCACATGTAAGGCTCCCACGTTCTGTGCCCAGCAGATACAGCAGCCTCACCCACACTACGGTGAATGGTAGGGAACTCAGGCAACAGAGCCAGGCTATCAGAACCTTGGCTTTGACTCCAAGTGAAGTGTGAGCCATTATAAGCTTGGAGCAAAGAATGGCAGGATCCATCATGTTTTATTCTTGCTCCTTCTTCTCAAGGATACCCTACATTTCCAGCAAAGAGACCGATTTACCCTGAGTGTCCCCTCCAAGCATACCTACCCATTGTAATCTCATCCCACCGTCAGTGACCATCTCCAAAGCCTCTCCTGCATAAAGCCATCTTGACTCCTCTGGCAAAACATGATTCCTCCTCTGGATAAAACCTTACAAACACCCAAACTACTTGACTTTGCCTAAGGTTTGCATTTTCTACCTTGTTCTAGTTTAAGAGTTAGATGACAAAGTCAAATATGTCTTGCTCTGAGCCTCACCTGGATTGCAGGTCCCTCAGGCATGGATGGCATTTGATACAGCAAAACAGTGCTGTGGCTTCAACTTTGGGAGAAGCCAAATGCCTCCAGAAGCTCTCAAACTCAGGGTCTATGCCCTCGGTCGCCTGCCAGCAGATACGCCAATGGATCCAACCATTCAAGTTCATCCACGTTTCTAAACACATTCTGAGTGGGGCTGTTCATGGTAAAAAAAGTTAAGACCAAATTATCATCCATCCAGTTCTCTTCCAACTAAACTGCTTTAGACATAAATACCTCTTGCTACATTTTGGATGAAATTCACCGGGATTCATTGTCTCCAGCATTCTTTTAGGTACTTGTATTGTGCTGTCATTTTTGATACCTTTAATTGCCACAGGTGTTCCTTCTCCCACTAAAATGAAAGCTCCTTGGAGGTGAAGGACTCACAGAGTTATTTGTGGACCCAGCCCATCCCCTTACCCGAGACCATTGCTCAAAATATTTGCAGATGGAGTATTCTCATGGCTCCTCCACATCTTTCAGTGTTTATTTGTAAATGAAGTACAAACAGGGAGAGACCAAAGGTAAACTTCTGCCTCTCTTATAACAGGATTTTGTGCCACTGTATCAAAACTTTGAGAATTTTTATACGCGGAACCTTTACATGAGAATCAGAGACAACTGGAATCGGCCCATCTGCAGTGCCCCGGGAGCTGTGTTCGATGTGATGGAAAGGGTGACAGATGACTACAACTGGACATTTAGGTGAGGCAGCCACCTGGGAGGGCTTGAAAGAAAATGCTTTCTAGGAAATTCTAGCAAGGATGCCAGATTACAGATATGAAAGAAAAACAGAGCAATGAAACAGCTGGTCTTCCATCATTCAGCCCTTTGCAAGCCCTCATGATGCCAGCGGGGGAAGTCACAGTAATTAAGTTGCCAAGGGCAGCTTATTTGTGTTGCAATTAAGAGAAATCTGTGGCAGAAGGTGCAGGATACACAGAGCCAGCCATAAAGAGTCCTTTTCAGCTTTATTGACAAAATGTACCCTTCTAGTTCCGGCTGAAGGAGCCCGTGATGGCCACGGCTGTTTCTCTATAGAAAGTTCTTGCTGCAATTTAAACCAAGGTGTCATGAAAGCTAGCACCCAAGAAAAATCGGAGCTGGGTAATACTCTGTGGCCCGGCTACATTTTCCCAGTGCTATGCCCAGATTCATGATGGAGTTACTCTCCTCCAAGGGCGAATTATTTTGTGGTGACAAGGCCAATCAAAATAGAAAATAGAAAAGATGTGATTTAGGCCAAGCCTAAGCTCTCTCTCTGGCAGTGTTCTACAGGACCGTAGGATGATATTGAATGAAAAAGTCCTGTGTGTTCACCTGACCTTCTCTCTGCAGGTTTACTGGAAGAGTCATCAAAGATGTCATCAATATGGGCTCCTATAACTTCCTTGGCCTGGCAGCCAAATACGATGAATCCATGAGCACCGTAAAGGCGGTCTTAGAGACATATGGCCTCGGCGTGGGCAGCACGAGACAGGAAATGGGTATGTACGTTCACCGTTCTGGAATTCTTTTCCAGTTAGGCCTGGTTCCTGTGTCTACTTCTCAAATCTAGGTCATATCTAGATCGTGTGCCACAAAAAGCTATTACAAAACACAAAAAGAGAAAGGTGTATGATGGTCTCCTTGAAAATTTCAAACATTAAAACTTTAAAACATTAAGTTTAAACTGCTCATACTAGGCAGTTTATTAAGACTTTAATTCTCCAGAATAAATACAAATGATTCTTTCCTGACCATGTGATCTGAAAAAAAGCAGCTATCACACCTCTTCCATTTGGTCCCTTTCTGGGTCGTTTTCTCCATTTTTCTTAAACAGCTTTGCTGTTTTTCAATCACTTAGTCGTGTCCAACTCTTTGCAACCTCATGGACTGCAGCACACCAGGCTTCCCTGTCCTTCACTATCTCCCAGAGTTTGCTCAAACTCATGTCCATTGAGTCAATGATGCCGGCTTTATTAAACAGGTTTGTTGAGGTTTGTTATGCCTTGAGATATAATAGGAAATGGCAACCCACTCCAGTACTCTTGCCTAGTACACCTAGAAATTTTCTATTTTGAGGTCTACTCTTTTAACAAGTGTATCAAGAGCACAGTACAGGATTGTTCTAGGCACCGTGTGGTAGGGAAGATTTCTAGAACTTATTCATTCTGCATCACAGAAACGTCATACCCATTAAACAACAACTTCTTATTTGGATATAGCTCTTTCTCCTACTTTTCTTAGTGATAACCATCACTTTTGCACTTGAATATTGCCTGTTTCTGCTCCTCTTGTGAAGGGAGGAATGAGTCTTGTTGACTGTTGTGTTGAATGAATGAATGGATGAATGAACAGATGGATGAATGATGAATGAATGGGAAAGGTGGTGCCAACAACCTTTTTATTTCTCTTTTAGCTGAAACAGTTTTCTCTTAGAAGAGTAAAATCTGAAGGAAACTTCTGCTCCCCACACGTCTGGGAGAATGAGGGAGCAGCTTGTTCCTGGCCCATTGTCTTCTCCTCTATGATCTCACTTGTGCCTCCCCAAACCTGTGTTGTAGAGGCAGTACAAGTGGTGTTATTCGTATCTTCCAGAGGAGGAAAGTGAGGACAACAGTGACACAGTGATGTGCCCACAGTGGCAGCTGTGGTAACTCCTAGTCTTGCTCAGCTTTTCTACTAAACAGTTTTCCATCTGGGATAATAAATCCAGGGCTCACCAGGTCAGTTTCAGGCCTAAGAATCAGATGTAAATCTGCTAAAAATGGATTTGCCATTCATGAAACATGCCACTCCTAGAGAACCAATTGGCAGAAGGGCTTTAAAAACCAGCAATTAAAAAGACCAGTGCAATAAATCAATATCACAGTAATACAAGTCTATGCCCCAACCAGTAATGCTGAATAAGTTGAAGTTGAACGGTTCTATGATGACCTATAAGACCTTCTAGAACTCATACCAAAAAAAGATGTCCTTTCCATGATAGGGGACTGGAATGCACAAGTAGGGAGTCAAGAGATACTGGAGTAACAGGAAAATTTGGCCTTGGAGTACGGAATGAAGCAGGGCAAAGGCTAACAGAGTTTTGCCAAGAGAACGCACTGGTCATAGCAAACACCCTCTTCCGACAACACAAGGGGAGACTCTACACATGGACATCACCGGATGGTCAATTCCAAAATCAGATTGGTTATATTCTCTGCAGCCAAAGACAGCTCTGTACAGTCAGCAAACACAAGACCAGGAGCTGACTGTGGATCAGATCATAAACTCCTTATTGCCAAATTCAGACTTAAATGGAAGAAAGTAAAACCACTAGACTATTCAGGTATGACCTAAATCAAATCCCTTATGATTATACAGTGGAAGTGAGAAATAGATTCAAGGGATTAGATCTGATAAACAGAGTGCCTGAGAAACTATGGACAGAGGTTCATGACATTGTACAGGAGGCAGGGATCAAGATCATCCCCAAGGAAAAGAAATGCAAAAAGGCAAAACAATTGCCTGAAGAGGCCTTACAAATAGCTGAGAAAAGAAAAGATGCAAAAAGGCAAAGGAGAAAAGGAAAGATATACCCATTTGAATGCAAAGTTCCAAAGAATAGCAAGGAGAGATAAGAAAGCTTTCCTCAGCAATCAATGCAAAGAAATAGAGGAAAACAATAGAATGGGAAAGACTACAGGTATCTTCAAGAAAATTAAAGATTCCAAGGGAACATTTCATGCAAAGATGTGCACAATAAAGGACAGAAATGGTATGGACCTAACAGAAGCAGAAGATATTAAGAAGGGGTGTCAAGAATACACAGAAGAACTATACAGAAAAGATCTTCATGACCCAGACAACCATGATGGTGTGATCACTCACCTAAAGCCAGACATCATAGAATGCAAAGGGGGCCTTAGGAAGCATCACAACAAACAAAGCTAGTGGAGGTGATGGGATTCCAGCTGAGCTATTTCAAATCCTCAAAGATGATGCTGTGAAAGTGCTGCACTCAATATGCCAGCAAATTTGGAAAACTCAGCAATGGCCACAGGACTGGATAAGGTCTGTTTTCATTCCAATCCCAAATAAAGACAATGCCAAAGAATGCTCAGACTACCACACAATTGCACTCATCTCACATGTTAGCAAAGTAATGCTCATAATTATCCATGCTAGGCTTCAATAGTACGTGATCCGTGAACTTCCAGATGTTCTAGCTGAGTTTAGGAAAGGCAGAGGAGTCAGAAATCAAACTGCCAACATCTACTACATCATCGAAAAGCAAGAGAGTTCCAGAAAAATATCTACTTCTGCTTTATCGACTATTCGAAAGTCTTTGTGTGGATCACAATGAACTGTGGAAAATTCTTCAAGAGATGGGAATACCAGACCACCTGACCTGCCTCCTGAGAAATCTGTATGCAGGTTAAGAAGAAACAGTTAAAACTGGACATGGAATAACAGATTGGTTCCAAATCAGGGAAGGAGTATGTCAAGCCTATATATTGTCACCTTACTTATTTAACTTATATGTAGAGTACATCATGGGAAATGCTGGGCTGGAAGAAGCACAAGCTGGAATCAAGATTGCCAGGAGAAATATCAATAACCTCAGATATGCAGATGACACCAACCTTACAGCAGAAAGCCAAGAACTAAAGAGCCTCTTGATGAAAGTGAAAGAGGAGAGTGAAAAAGTTGGGTTAAAACTCCACATTCAGAAAACTAAGATCATGGCATCCAGTCCCATCACTTGATGGCAAATAGATGGGGAAACAATAGAAACAGTGAGAGACTTTATTTTCTTTGACTCCAAAATCACTGTAGATGGTGACTGCAGCTGTGAAATTAAAAGATGCTTGCTCCTTGGAAGAAAAGCTGTGACTAAACTAGACATATTAAAAAATCTGCATATTAAAAAGCAGAGACATTGCTTTGCCAACTAAGGTCCATCTAGTCAAAGCTTTGGTTTTTGCAGTGGTTATGTATGGATGTGAGAGTTGGACTATAAAGAAAGCTGAGCACCGAAGAACTGATGCTTTTGAACTGTGGTGTTGGGGAAGACTCTTGGACTGTAAGGAGATCAAACCAGTCAATCCTAAAGGAAACAGGTCCTGAATATTCGTTGGAAGGACTGATGCTGAAGCTGAAGCTCCAATACTTTGGCCACCTGATGAGAAGAACCGACTCACTGGAAAAGACCATGATGCTGGGAAAGATTGAAGGCAGGAGGAGAAGGGGACGACAGAGGATGAGATGGTTGGATGGCATCACCAACTCGATAGACATGAGTTTGAGTAAACTCTGGGACAGCGAATCCTGGTGTGCTGCAGTCCATGGGGTCACAAAGAGCCAGACCCTACTTAGCGACTGATCTGAACTGTGCAATAAATCTCTATTCAAATTGAACACATTTTCATCCACATACTCAGTACTTAGCTAGAACTCCAAAGTCTATAAGTGTTTTCCAGATTTCTTAGGAAACACATGGTATCTTTTTTTCTCAATATTTATTTACTTGGCTGCATCAGGTCTTAGTTGCAGCATGCAGGATCTTCATCATGGGATCTTTTGTTGTGACATACAGGCACTAGTTGTGGTGTGTGGGCTCAGTAGTTGAGGCTCATGGGCTTAGTTGTTCCATGGTATGTGGGATGTTAGTTCCCCAACCAGGGATCAAACCCATAACCCTTGCATTGTAAGATGGATTTTTAACCACTGGACCACCGGGGAAGTCCCACCACTGTATCTTTATTTTGAGGCATGAGGGCTGGAGAAATAAGCAGGAAGAGGATGAAAGGTTCTCCTCCTTCAGAAGAGCTGAGTCTCCCACAAGCCTGGAAGGACACCCCTGTCAAAAGACACACAGAGTCAGAGACAGTCACAGCCACCAGAACCTTAAGGAGACAGCCTCACACAGGCTTCCAGTGAAGACGGATCCAGAATAAGGGTCCCTGATTCTGCAGATTCAGCAAACCCGGAGAAACCAGACAGAGGTGAGGAACCATGTTTGCACTGCCTACAGCCGACACGCTTTCCCCACCTGCTCATCCTTCCAAATTGCTGGGCTTTTAATGTTCACTTGCTTCCTCAAGCTCTCCAGCTCAAGTGCTCAGAAGAAAATTTTAACAACTTCCAAGTAAACAGAGAGAGAGCACAACAAAAGCCACCCACAGTAATTTTAGCAAAGAGAACTGAAAACAAGAATGTAAGCAGTCAAAAAATATATGATTAAACAGGGTACATTCAAAATTGTTTTGCAAGATTAATAGTAACCTGAACAGAGCAGGTACAAATTGGTAATATAGTTTTGAATGCTATTTATTTAAGAAATACAAGTAACTTTTGAAAAATGTTAAGAAAATGTTAGCAGGGCCAATAGACTAACAACACTTTGGAAATATAGAGACTTAATTTTTAGTAACTGAAATAGCTTATTGAGGAACCCAAAATAAAAGTTCAGGGACATTTAGATTGAAGGCAAAAAGAGAAAAGGATGGCAGAGGATGAG